CTTTCATCTTACATCTGCCTGTGAGCAGTTTGGAGGTGCAAGATACCTGAGCATGTAATGTTAATTTTACCTGTGATCCTTTGAATAAATCAGCACTGTTTTGAAGTTACTTGGACTGTCTCGTCTCTCAGAGTTAGCAATGGTAAGAAGAACCAAGTAGTCCTTCAGAGTCGAACCACCAACTTGCTGGTTAGGAGACAACTTGCCCTACCTTGTGAGCCACAGCCACCCACGCCAAGGAATTTATTTCTGGTACAGAACCATCTGCGGCACCAACTCAACCGATGGCTCTAACCATCATAGGCAATGGGGGGGTTCAGTGACTTGCCCAAGGACACTTTGACATGTGGAGTAGCTGATTTGAGGCGGGATGGGACATTAGCTTGTGCAAGAGACAGGTTAAAGACATTGGTGAAGACACCAGCCAGTTCATAGGCACAGACCTTAAGTACTTTTCCTGGTACTCCATCTGGTCCAGCAGCCTTCCTTGGGTTAACTGGTCTTAATACCTTCTCACCTCATGTTCCTGTATAGCCTTTAATAGGGAGACATGAGTGTGAATCTGAAGTTTTCAGTTCAAAACAGGTGGAAAAGCAGTTAAGCACACGAAGCAGTGCTGTTGGGTTATTTGGGTTTGCTAATGCTGATGGAAAGTGGTCACTTCCTGCTGCTTTTGTTTCATAGTAAATCTGTTTCTCACACACACGGATGCTTTTATACCAGCTACAAAAAATACATTGTATATACTGTATGTAAGCAGAGCCATACCAGAGGTGAGAGCCAACTGATAGTTTTCATTTTAACTATTAGGACATGGACATTTAATGTTTTTTTTTCTTCACAACAGTTATACATGTACTAGAACAGGGCATCTGACAACTTGTGACAGACCAAGTATGAGACTGGAGAACACATGTGTCAAACTCAAGGCCCGCCTGCCACATCCGGCCTGGCGTACAATTACATCCGGCCCACGAGATCATTTTATATATCTTTTTTTAATGGCCCTGTAGGACTTTGGTTCTTCTTACCATTGCTAGCTCTGAGAGACGAGGCAGTCCAAGTAACTTCAAAACAGTGCTGATTTATTCAAAGGATCACAGGTAAAATTAACATTACACGCTCAGGTATCTTGCACCGCCATCCTGCTCGCAGGCAGATGTAAGATGAAAAACCCTGAACCCACCAGGCCTATACATTATATCCCCTCGGTTGGGCTAGCCCCATACTACACAGAAACGTCAACCGAGAGCTGCCCCTCTCATCACACGGGCTGACTAGTTTAAACTTTTTTTTTTTATTTCCGGGTTGTAAGCGAGTGTGTGTCTGTTGATTAAGTGGTGTGTAGCTAAAAACATTCTCACAACCTCTAGTGACATGTCGTGACTTAAACATAAGAACATATTATGGCTAAGGCTACAGTTATACACGTCATAATAATAATATTAAACACCCTGTCTGCTGACAGTCATCAACCTTCCTCTC